TTGCACTCAAAGGTTCTTACGTGTCTTCTGAGGAGAAAGACCCGTCTGCGGTCCCGGCGGCCCCGTTCCCGTCCGTCGCGGTACCGCTCTTCCCAATAGAAAACGGTCTGCGGGCCCGGCAGCACCGTTCACGCGTCAGTGGCCACCGCCCTGTCCCCCCCCCCGCCTTTGCATTGCAATCGCATTGCGCGCACTGCAATCGCATTACATTGCAATCGCATTGCATTGCAATCGCTTTGCGTTGCTTTGCAAGTGCACTGCGTTGCATTGTTTTGCCTTGCCTTGCATTGTTGTGCGTTGCACTGCTTTTCACCGCATAGAGTGCACCACATGCATTGCACCACTTAGATTGTACCGAATTGATTGCACCACATAGATTGCACTGCATAGATGACAATAAATCACGGGTTGGGGTCCACGTTAGCTAACAGATAAGTCACAACGAACCACAACGCAACATGGCTGTTTCTTCAAGGCAAGCCTTTGCAATAACGGTCACCAAACCAAAGGGGCGTGCTGAAATGACATTACAACCTGCGGGTCAGCAAAACGTCAAACACATCACACCGTAACGCACACATGACACAAACGATTAACGCGAAAAAACACAATAATGCACACCATGAGTGCCGTGTATGAAGGAGTCGCCGCACGATCGACCCATACAAACTCCAATTCAGTCGTACTTGCGACTGCACGAATGATGGGAATGCCGACGAACACTACAACGAAAAATGGAAAACCAACTGGGAGTTGAATGGCCAGAACAGGTATAGACAAGTTCGATGACCCTGTTGATAGTCAAGCCACAACGTAACGTTAGTGCTTCCTCCTCAGGTCACGCCCATGCAGTAACGGTAATGCTTCGGCGCATTGATGGCAACACCAGTACGGGGCTCGTCTTAGCACGCGCGCGCACTCGTCTTCAGACTTTGCAGCGGTTTCGAAGAAGGATTTTTTTGAGTAACATGTGGCTCTCGCCTTGGCGCCGCGCGCGCTCGTCGTAAAACATTGCAGCTGCTTCAGGGACGGCGAGAGGGGAGACGCAACGTGGCCCTCGCCTTCTTAGCTCCGCACACGCTCGCCCGAAAACATGACTTCACTGCCAACGACGAGATGCGGTCCTTCTTCGTCATCGGGTTCTCGCTGGGGACTTCAGTAACTCCTGAAGACCGGAGACTTCCTACACGCGTAGCGCTGCACGGGTCGAGGTCGGCTCTTTGCAAAACGGAGCTGTCGCTCGAGACTTCACCGGCATTCGTGACCACCCAGTGCAAAGTCGCGTCGCCGTGCAGCTTTCGACTACGATCAAGTATCCCACGAACGCGATCATGTAGGTCACCGAGAACCTCAAACTCCGCATCATGAATCGCAGGCACGGGAAAAACAAACTACGATCAAGAGAGAGAAATAGAGAGCACCGCCGTGAATGCAAGGAGCATCCGGCATCGGGCCAAAACCAATAGACCACGGGCTACTGCCATCTATCCAAGGATCCTCAACACCTGCAGCTCCGCCTCGTGGAGATTACGCGGTAGGTGAAGACTACAAGGGGCCGACCTCCACCGCCTCCGCCTCCAGCCGGCAACCCACCAGGGGGGTAACGAGGTCCACCGCCTCCACCACCGCCACCACCACCACAGTCATCATCATCATCATCATCATCATCATCATCATCATCATCATCATCATCATCATCATCATCATCATCATCATCATCATCATCATGATCATGATCATGATCATCATCATCACCATCATCATCACCATCCCATCCCCCACCATCACTATCACCATCACCATCATCATCAGAGCCAGGGCGACCAGCAGGAACACTGAGCTAGAAGCTGACCTCAGACTTGTCGCACGAGTAGTGGTGCCCGCGGCCAACGGCGACAACGTTGCCCACCAGCCTGTCAAGATTAGACAACGAGGTCACACGGATATTGCGAGGTACGGACGATGTCCGAAGGCCGTGCGGATCGACTCCGACTTTATCTTGCCGCGACCGTTAGCCGCATTGCCGAATGAGACGTGCGCAGGAATGCCCATGGCCAGCTGCTCACCGAGCCAACTGGCGCGAGCCTCGAGAACCATGGCGCCAGAGGCAACAACGGATTTCAGAGGACCGCGCACGTGTACGGAGGAAGCAAAGGGACAAGCGGTTCCGAAATGGCGAGGATGATTGTGAATTTGATGATGGTGATGATGACAATGACGCTGATGCCACTAATGAGGACGCCCCCCCCTCCTCCTCCTCCTCCTCCTCCTCCTCCCTCCTCCTCCTCCCACTCCTCCGCCCCCTCCCCTCCTCCTTCTCCCTCTCTCCCCCTCCTCCTCAACGGCAGCTCCTCTGGGCGGGCCCCGGGCCTCGGTCCAGAGCCACAGGCGGTTGGGGCCGCAAGGCTTGCCCCAGTCCGCTGTGAGCGCGGCGTTTTTTTTTGTTCGGCGCCCAAGCGACGGAGAGGGAGCAGGAGGGAGAGGACGAGGAGGAAGGAGCAGGAGGGGGAAGACGAGGAGGAAGGTCACTGTAAACCCAAGACGCACCAACTATGTTGCAATCCACCCTCCCTCCATGCTTACTCTCCCTAGGTCCCTAGGACAAATTATTTCCATTGCGGGGAATGGCCAATTGAAACACATCAGTTCGAGAATCTTCAGCCGTGCCGGAACTCCTGGGATTCAACGCTTCTCATCCAAGTGACTGCCGTGTCCTGGCAGCGCTAAATCTTGCCAGAACACAATTCGTTGGAATGTAGCACCACGAATCAACGTGATTGTTGCGTCCTGACAATACTACATCATGTCAGAACACGCCATCCCTGAACATTTAAACCTATGAATCCTGAAACCAGATATACACTTACAAGACGGACGTGCTCGGCATGAAGGCGAGGGCCACTTTCAAAAAAGGAGAGCTACTGCGAACTCTTTCAAATGAGTGTGCGCGGCGTTAAGGCGATAACCACTTTTTGAAAAAAGATCCACCCTCTGTCCTTGAAGCTATCGCGAACTTTATCAATGCAATGTGCACGGCGTTAGGCGAGAACCACTTTTTGAGAATGACCCGCCCTCCATCCATGAAGCTGTTGCACTATTCAAGCTTCAGGATGATACATTGTGCGGGAGTCTCAAGCGAAACACCCAGCCTGCCCTTCCGACGCGTCTGGTGGCGCGACCATAAGGAAGGGGAGTGGGTGGATGATGCCTGCTGAGGAGGCGGAGGAGGAGGAGGAGGAGGAGGATCCGACGCGTCTGGTGGCGCGACAGGGAGTTAGTTATTCATAAGGAAGGGGAGTGGGTGGATGATGCAGCTGCTGAGGAGGCGGAGGAGGAGGAGGAGGAGGAGGATGGAGGAGGAGAAGGAGGAGGAGGAGGAGGAGGAGGAGGGGGAGCAGGAGGAGGAGGAGGAGGAGGAGGAGGAGGAGGAGGAGGAGGAGCTGGAGCTGGAGCCTCAGACCTTGGCGACCCAACACATATCGAATCGGTTACCTGGTTCGTAGTTTTCGGCCTCCGGAAACAGTCTCCCAGCCCCAGGAGAGCGAAAGGCCAGCCGCAGGGAACGGGTCGAGAGCCCTGGGGGCTGGCGTCACGGAAGGAAGTGCGGCGTCGGAGAACAAGGGAGGAGGCTCGAGGTTCGAGGCTTCTCGGGCGTCTCTCTGGCCTCTTGGGGGGCCTCCTGGGGCGCCCTCGTGGGTACGGCCACGTGCCCCCTCGGAGTTCTGGTCCAGTCGCGCCCCAGGGCGAGGCCGTGGGCCGATTTTTGAGGAGAGAGGGAGGAAGAACGGGGATCAGGAGCAGGAGGATGAGAAGGAGATACAAAACTCAAATCTCCGACGATATGACATTTTCAATCCCTGCGGGTTTTCCGTGATCTCGCCCCTCGGGGGCTCCTTTTAGGCCCCAGGACCATCAAACGTGGATCTGGGACGCAAGAACTACCCTCAAGGGAGCGAGCGGGACCTCTGGCGCCGCGGATTGAAAAATTCATCCGGCGGACCCGAGCATCCGGCGTCACGATTTTTTCGAGACGCGGACCCCAGCGTGAGACTGAGGAGCTCCAGGCCAAGGGGACCTTCGCCTGCACCTAAGCAGAATCAGGATCGTAATGTGGGAGGTCACCGCAGGGAGCATACACAGAAGCACGCTACGCTAAGAAATACGCTAAAGATAAAAGCCTCCTCGTTGGCACGAGCAGAAATCCGCCGATCCTTCGGCACGTGTGAGACGCTGTCGTCGTCTTCGTCGTCGTCGTCGTCGTCATCGTCGTCGTCGCCAGTCCCAAGAAAATTGAGGAACGAACAGAGACAAGACACGTCGTAGTTAAGTCGGTTCCCTTCCCTTTATCCATTCCCTGACGGGGGGGTGAGGGGGGTTAAGGGGGGGAAGCCCCGGGTCAGGTTGCCGTCCCCTGGGGCCCGGGGGGAAGTCCCACCTGTAGACAAAGGGGACAGGGACGAGTTCCCACTGTGTGTGTGGGGGGGGGGGCGGCCTGGTTTCCGGCCCTGGCCCCGGCCTAGGGGTCCCAGGAGGGGACCCTGGGGTCCCATGGTGGTCCCGCCTTCAAGGTCGGCGGCTCCCGCCGTAAGGCCTCCCCGATACTGAAACACATGACGCCCATGCGAAAGAGAGAGAGAGAGAGGGTAGGACAGAGGGAAAGTGGACAGCACATGCCGCCTGCACCTAACGTAGGGTTCGAATACGTGGGCTCCAGCAGACCGCCTGCGAGTTCTAATGCGCTACGCTGATAAAAAAGACAAGCGCATGTGAAGTCACAGTGTGGCCCTGGACCGAACGTTCTACACGAGTGGGAAAGATGAGTAGGACAGGAGGAGGCATAGAAAGATGAGAGGAGGCCACGGGCGACGATTAGTCTTCGAACTCGTCGTATGGGTCGCTTGGCGACTCCGCCCGTGGACGGGCCAGCTTCTCAGAGGCGGCAGGGAGCCCGGTTTCTGGGCGGCCGCCGCGACCCTCAGTGCTGTCCTCGAACGCATCCT